ATTCCTACACATGTAAGTATTATTACTGTTAAAGGCAAGTGTACCCTTGTTTTTTTTTGTTTGGCTTGATTTTTTTTTTTTTTTTTTTTTTTTTTGTTGTTGTTGTTGGGTTTTTGCTTTTTTTTTTTTTTTTTTTGCTTATAACGGGCTCTTGAGGCTTCTTTGAAGTAGTACGCATCACCATCCTTTCTTCAATTACAGCACAGAAAATAATCTGATCTCTTTCCCCCTCACCTGCTGTATCCTCTGAACACATTGCTTCATGCCTCACAAAAAATCTCACAGATTAGCTCAAACAAATGCTTTGTCATAGTAGTAGGTTATAAACCTTTTGAAGAGTCAAAACTGATCAGAATTGTTTTCTCATTGATATTTAATCTAGTTGCATGTGCACTGTGAACCACCAGAACCGCTTTCTCATTTCCTCCGCTGCCTTTCCTTCCTTCCCTGGTGGAATGGAGGAGAGAACCAGAAAAGTAAAAGTGTGTCCTGGGTTCCGCAGTAGCAGTCATGTTTTTCCTTTGTGTTAACTGGTGCAGTGCAGTGTTTTGACTTTCAGCTCGGGAACAGAGCTGATAACAAGGATATTTTGGTTTGGCCAAGGACTTTGTGAGGCTCATGCTCTGCCAGGGAGGAGGGGAGGCTGTGAGGAAGCAGAGACGGGGCGCCTGACCCGGGCTAGCCGGGGAGGTATTCCATACCACAGCACGTCATGCCCGGGGTGAGGGGTAACTGGGAGTTACCCGGAAGGACAGGGGCTTCCGGGTGGAACTCGTTTTCTTGGCCGGTGGTATCGTATTCTTTTCCCTTGTTATTTTCCCTTATCATTGTTTTAGCTGATAGTAGCGGTGGTGATTTGTTGCTGGACTGTTTTTGTCTCAACCCGTAGGAGTTGCACTCTCCCGATCCTCCTCCCCGTTCCTCCGGGAGCGGGGAAGGAGAGAGCCCCGGTGCGGGGAGGCGGGGGGGGGAGATGGACACGGACCTCGATTGTTGTCAGCTCGGCACCACTCACTGGGAGTGAGTGAACAAGCTACCTGACTGGGTTTAAACCACGACAAAGTGGGAAAACCCATGGGCTGAGATAAAGACAGTTTAACAGATAAAGTGAAAGCTGCACACAAGCAAAGCAAAATAAGGAATTGATTCAGTGCTTCCCATGGGCAGGCTGGTGTCCAGTCATCCTCAGGAAAGCAGGGCTCCATCACATGTAACAGTTATTTGGGACAACAAATGCTGTCACTCTGAACATCCTCCCCTTCCTTCTTTCCCCAGCTGTACATGCTGAGCATGATGCCATATATTATGGAATATCCCTTGGGTCAGTTGGGGTCATCTGTCCCGGCTGTGCCCCCTCCCAGCTCCTTGTGCACCCTCTGCCTACACGCTGGTGGGGTGAGGAGCGGAGCAGGCTTTGACTCTGTGTAGGCACTGCTGAGCAGTAACAATAATATTCCTGTGATATCAGCACTGTTTCCAGCACAAATCCAAAACATAGCCCTGTGCTAGCTTCTATGAAGGAAATTACCTCAGTGGAAACTACCATAGTTGCAAACGGCATAAGACTTTATAAAAATGTTTCAGGTGAGTCACAAGGTAAAGACTTCAGGGATGCTTGCCCATGCCAAGCTGTGAAAACCCTTGTTTTTGAAACTCTTTGAAGAAATAGATGAGTGTATTATCAGATTAGCAATTGTAAAATGGTCTGTGCAAGTCAGTTGCATGTCCACTAACTGCCTTAATGATGCTTGACAGAATACAAGTAATTTCTGACATGAGAGCCTGCCTCAGCTGCTGCCTATCTTGGTTTTTGCATTTCTCTCTAGAGTTTTGGGCTCTGCCATTCTTAGCTAGTGAGCTTGTCTGTCCTCAGGGAGTGTACGCTTCTTCCCTGCTGGGACTTTCCTCTGACAGAGATCTCAATGAATATTTGGTTGAATTATTTGTTGAGCAATTATTTGCAGGCCAGAAAGTTAAACCAAGAATTACTCTGGATTGCTTGTGGTAGATTTTGGATGAGGGCATTCTCAGTCAGTTGTTACGATAAGAAAAACTGAGGAGAAGGGAAGGCTTGCTTCAAGAGTGACCTGGGTGTACAGGATTTCCTGCCCACTCCAAATGTTTGTCAGTAATATATGTGATATAAACAAGGAAAAAATAAAATTGGTGTCAAAAATTGACAGAAGGATGTCATGTTAATAGGGTAAGGCATCTGTTGTAAAACATGAGAAGAATTACAAGTTACAAAGAGGAAAAGGAACATTTTGTTTTAGAACTGGATGTTATATTTCAAAGAAAAGTGTGATACTGAATATCTTAGCTTTTTAGGGTTCTTAAAAAAGAGAAGGGATGGGGGTCAGTGGTGGCACAAACTGTATTATCCTACTACACTTCCAGGAATATTTAGAGGCTTTTAGCAATGATAGCAAGGCACAGTTGTTTCCGTATTAGTATTACTCCTTATCATAGTCACGTCCCTGAGATTTGTTCTTGTTGCTTGTAAAGAAGGTTTCATATGTGAAAAAAAGTGTCATCTTCCATTTCTCACTGGCAGACACTTTAGTTTTACTAAATCTGCTTTGTCCATAGAGAATTTCTTGCTTTCAGGTGTTATACAAAAATGACATAATTATTTCTTGTACAGTATTTTTCTGTAGTGAGTCATTTAGGCAAAGAAAAATTAATCACCAAAATAGAACCATTAAGGCAAAGTACAGCTTTAACCTGCACATCGTCTAAGCACTGCGATGATAAGTTTTAGAGAAACCTTAGTGCAAGATTGCTCAAAAAAGCTTGATGAGGTTTTTAGAGAAAGCAAGCCATTGCAATTTTGTCTTCATGAATGCATTTGTAGATTAAAAAGAGCTTAGACTTTAAGCCTCACTAACAATTTACTTGGGAACAGCAACACAGTGTGTGTGGCTTTGCATCAGTCTGATGTGGATTATCTACAACCCTCCTCTCCTACATTGCATTACCAGTAGTAATCCCATTAGATGATTACCTCTATGTGTCCTCAACAGACGGATTTAGTCATAATTGAAAGGTACTTCAGGTGGGTTTAATTAACCCTGTGGCCATTTTATTAACAGAGCCTCTTGTACCCGGTAGCTTTGCATTAAGTGAAGTGAATTTATGGCCCCTTAGGACATTCTAATCTACAGTTGTGAACATAACTGCCTGTTATTTAGTCAAAGCTACAAGAATCAAGGGTTGACCATTTTTGTACTTGTGAATCTTTAATGCAGCTGTGCTAAATGTCACTGTAATATCTGATTGCTGATCTATGGCCAAGTCATTTGAGGAAAGTGGTCTGTAAGCTGGTGAGCAGCAGCTCGCTTTGCCTAGAGTTGTTTTGTTTAGCTCAATGGAAGAGAAATGTATTACTTCATTGTGGTGAGCATTTACCTCCAGTGTGCATAATGGACTGGATCTGAGTAGTCATTACCATCCCAGGAATGGGAAATCTTTATGCTTAGGCAAAATTGCACCAGTTTTTTCCTCAATACTAGGTAGGCAGGATAGCAGGGAAAGATGTCCATTATGAATATAACTGTGTTCTTGAAACCTGTTGTTCAGGCCTTTCCTTCAGAGAACCATGTCTTGTTATATGCAAGCTGCACAGCCTCAGTCACTCTGGCAAGAGAGGAGTATTGTGATCTCCAGCCTCTACAGTACAATTTAAACAATATCAGTGTCTAACCTATACTGAACAGTGAAGTCTGGTGCACTAGCAGGACTGTAGCACTATATTTACAGGTGCTGTTGGCCAGGCTGAGGAGGTCTAAGTGTTCCTACAGGCTGGCGTTTGCCCTAACATTTGTGTGTTTGGACCTGGTAACACAGGAGAGCCTGTGGTGTTAGAGCCTGGGGAACCCTTACAGTTTCCAGAGGTGGAAAAGGCTGATAAATTTTGGGAACCTCTTAGCTGACTTCAACAACTAACTCTTAAAGTAAGTTGATATTTCACTACTGGCTAAAATAAATGCAGGACTGCATTTCTGGCTAAAATGTAAGGATCTGAATGGAAAATACAGTTTCACAGAAGGATTATGCAGTGAAATCTTTCAGTTGATAAAGCTTCACTGCATACACAAAATGGTCAGAAAGAACAAGTGGAAAACATTAGACTGGCCTGTTTCTTCTAAAATGGGGCAGCTTTGAAAGAGAAGCACAGAAGTAACCTGCAGCAGCAGTGTATAAATGCAACCCTCCTTCCTAGGAAAGGAAGGGAACACTAAAATGTTGTGTTGGGACAAAACTGTAAAGTGCAGTCTTTAAACATACACCAAGCTAATGTACACAAAATGCTGAGCTGCATGTTGATCACTGTATTGCCCATTAACTTAATCACTGAAGCATGGAGAAAGCTTCCACTGAAGAAAATGCTGGTTTGTAACATTCTGCGACCCATGTTATTACCTGTCATGTCTCATTTAATGTTGTTGCTGAAGGGTTGCTAAATGTGTGATATAAAAACCATGAGTCTTTACTTGGTGGAGAGCATCTTTTCTCACCCAAGAGTTACAGTTTCAGCCCCAAAAGGCAAAATGGCAGGCATTTACAAGCCAAAGGAGTGGACAGTGGGGCAGAGAGGTTTCAGGAAAGTAATCCAGAGTTTAAATTTTAAGATGAAAACCCATGAGGTATATTCTGCTTGAAGTTGAAATCCATGTCGCATCTTGCACTTGTCAGTCATGTTATAGTTTGTTCCCAAGGACATTCTGCGTGCCCCTGCTTAGTTTTGCAGAGAAGGGGAAGAAGAATGTGGCAGCCAGCTGAAAAATGCAGAACATTTTGTCATCCCTCAGCACGCTGCTCTGGCAAAACATGGCAAAACACAAGTAGGACACCCCTACTGTGGTGCTGCTATCAGCAAGCATTGCTTTGTAAGCCGTTATGTGAGAGACTGGCAAAATATGGAAAAACAAGAGCAGATTTCCTTGTAGACTTCACCTCAGTGATCATCATAGAATAGTTAGGGTTGGAAAAGACCTGAAGATCATCTAGTTCCGCCCCCCCCCGCCACGGGCAGGTATGCCTCACACTAGACCAGGTTGCTCAAGGCTGAGTCCAGCTGGCCTTTAACACTGCCAGGGATGGAACATTCAGAAGTAGTCACTGCAACAAAGCACAACAAACTCTTGAAGTTTCTTTTCAGACTGGCTGCTTCTCTACTTGGGGATAGGTGTACCGTACCGCCAGCTCTAAGTACACCTGGACCTGTGCCCATCACAGCAAGTTTCAGTTCCCTTCTGGTTACACCCTTGTGTTTCCTTTATCCATTCTGTGGACACAGCTTGCAGGGAAGCCCACCCAGGTTTTCCACGCATGGGTGGAAATTATTCCAGGGGCAAACTCTGGTGGGATGCTTTCTTCTCCTTCAGCTCCTTGTGTTGACTCTGATCTCAATCATTTCCTCTTGCCTGCTATGTAGTAGTTATGCCAGTCATTTTCCTTGAGCAGGTAAGGTCAGAGGCCCTGAGTACATGACCTGGTGCCAGAGGCAGAAAAAGTCTCTCTTTCAGTATGGTGAAGGTAAGTGCTGTGCATATGCTTGGGTGAGGGGTGAGTGGAAATAGGGCTCTGGGAGATGCCAGGTTTGACCAGGAATATGCCATAACTTCTTTGAAAAGAGCTAATATTCCTTCACTCCTATACCCTTGGGAATGTTCACTTTTCACGTAAATAATTTTGTTGCCAAATTTTTGTCTTTCTTCTGGGGTGATGCCATTCAGCTGACTGACGTATGTAAGGATTTCTATTCTTGGGAAGTCTTCCAGCATCAAAAAGCCACCCTGATAGAGTAGAGCTGCTTCTGAGCAAGCCCTGGTTAAGATTCTGCTTTGGTTGATGAGCTCCTGGTGCACTGCACTGAATTCAGGTTCCTGATGCTGTTCTGCAGTGATTTCTGATTTGCTTGTTAGAAGACTTCATATGCTTCTAATGTTACCAGCATGTTAACTGACTGCTGAACTGACAACATAAGCTTTAATCCACACTGATTCTTTAGCCTTGTATTTGATGATGGAAGAGCTAAAGAAACAGATGGACCTGGTAGAAAGACTCACTGAAGCCCAATAACTTAGCTATCTGTTTTGTAACCAATATGTTTCTTGGAAGTGAGAAGATTAAGTGGATCAACTTGTGTGCTGTCTGCCTAGTAGAAAGAAGCTTATTTAAGAGGGAGAGAGAATCTGTGCTTCAGTCCAGAAAGAAGATGGGTTCTACAGAAGACCTTGACTATCCTCAACACATCTTGCAGTACAGCAGTGGATTTTTAGTCTCAAAGGTAAGAAATAGTCTTGGATAGATGTCTAGCAGTATGCAGACAGAAATATTCAAGGTTCTCACTTTAGGTGCTGAATGTAAGTCTTCGGAATGAAAACTGGCTCATATGAAGGCATCCTCTCTACTCCCCTTAGCAGGAAGGAAATTTAGAAAGAAAAAGATTTGAAAGTGACCTGACCCCTCAGGATAGACTTAACATTTATTGAGACCTCTCTGACCTCTGGGGGCTTGGATGAGCAGACCTTCTCTGAATGAGGCTTTAAAAAAACACAGGGTTTTATAGCTGAGGGCTTGCTGTCTGATTGCCTCAGATATAGAAGGTTCCTTCGGTGGTGGGATTTTTTTCCCACTTTTCATTTCCAGAGTTTGAGAAACAGAGAGCCAACATGAACTGCCTTTTTCCTTCTTTATTAGCCATGCAAAGAACAAGATTTTTCAACTACCTTCTCAAAGAATTTCTGTCCTTCTCCCATGGTTTTCTGTATGGAGGCATCATATTATGCAGGCAACTGATCTTGAGAGCTTCTGTGTGTTGCCTTTTTTCACATGAAAGATAGACTCTAGTATAATGACTGTGTTTCCAAACAGCATTTGATTAAGGCACAAAGGTAGTACTAATAGTTCCACCTCCCTTATTGTTTACTGACATTTGCCTTTCTGTGGGTGAGCATATGGACATATAATTATAATATCCACTGCAGTGGAGATTTTTTCCTCATAACTATTTAGTTACATTTCCTATTGTCCCTTGCTACACCTCTTGCCAACATGGTAAGGTAAAGAATACTCTTCAGGTTGTGCAAATACTGCTGCATCCTATAGCTCCTGAAAGCCAGAGCTGACAGTAAAGAGAGGAGAAATGAATCATGAAAAAAACTCTTGTGCTCTTGGGGCAAAAAGCAAGAAAGTCTTGAGAGTATGTGCTCTGAAACTAAGGAAGAGCCAGGAACATTCACACCCAAACCAGGTCTCTCAATGTGAACCTTTGTGAGCCAAAATCATTGGCTGGCTTTTCCAGAAAAGGAAAAGAAATGGGAAAAAAAGGTGCACTGCAAGCACTTGATGGTATTATCAGTGTTCAGAGAAACTTCAGTTTAACCATTTGTCTTGTTTATATGAAATATGCTTTTTACATGAAAAAATATTATTATGTGTATATTTTCTCCAACGAAGCTTTAGAAATGCAGTAGGCTTTTGTGCTTTCACCTGACACCTCACTCCTACCTTTCCTTTCCCCCAGGTTATGTTCACTGCTTGTGAGCTGGGGGTGTTTGATCTTTTGCTGGAGTCAGGGGAGCCTCTGTCCATGGATGCCATTGCTGCACGCTTGGGTACCAGCACCACAGGGATGGAAAGACTGCTGGATGCCTGTGTGGGGTTGAAGCTCTTGGCAGTAGAGCTGACACAAGAAGGAGGTAATAAAAGCAGAAGAAGGGGAAGAAACTATAAGAGTTAAATCTCTGATGGTTTGGCAAGTGAGGCAAGGTGGGGGGAGGTGATATCTAATCTTAGTACAGTTGGCGGAAGGAGAAGAGGATCACTTGCAAATGTCATCTCCTTTTCAACTGAAAGAGAAGAAGCAAATGCCAGCATTATTAAATAAAGGTGTAAAGTAGAGCCCAGGTGAAGTGCTTTATATCCCTAAATGTCTTTGTGGAAGAGCCTCAGGGACCTTGGAGAAGATATTCAGGGTCTCTGCAGAGGTGGTCTCAAGAAAACTCTGAGGTGTGGGCATGATTTTGAACCTTAAAACAAAATGCCAGGGTAGATGGACAATGGCATGATTTAAAAACATGTTTTATTTGTCTTTGTGGTTTTACCACCATGTGAAGTATTTAGTTAGGTTGCTGATCTGAACTGAGAGGTGATATAAGTTTGTCCTTGCAGCAGAAATGTTGAGTCCATGGGGTCAGGAGGGATTTCAGACCATCAGACCGCTGGTCAGGACTGGCCAGAGTCTTGCAAGTTGTATCCCCTGCTTTGACTTTTGTTGTCTGTCCCTGTTTTAGGGCTTACAGTAGTTGCTCAATGAGTTTAAGGAGAACAGGATCTATCTTTTACATTCCTTTTGTGTGACAGTCCCATGGGTGAGTGATGCCACTGCAGATGTATTGGAGGAAGCAGGGGGAGATTTCTGCGAGTTCTTTAGGCATTCAGTCTCTCTGTAGAAGGTCCTAACCTAGTGAACTGAGAAGGGAGTAAGTGTAGTTAGCATGCTGTTTTGGGGACTTGCCTCCTGCTTGCTGATCTTGTTGACTGGCAAAGATGCTTGTCTGCAAGGGCTTCTTGTTTAAATAGGCTTCTGCCTTTGGTGTGCTCTATCAGTAAATAATGATACTCATAAAGAATTCCTCTTGCTGTTCTTGAAATAAATGTTTGGTGCTAGAGTAAGTATAGGTAAGTATTGCTTACTCAAATTGAACGAGGAAACATACATTTCAGCAGCCCTCAGCCACTGCTCATTGTAGTGGAAAGATTGATTGTAGAAGCAATGTAGTTGTGTCTTTGGTCATGTGGACATCTCTTGGTGACAAATACCATGCTGTGCAGTAGGTTTGGCAAGGTGGTATATACATGTTAATAAACATATTTATTTCACCTATTAGCCCTCTACAGAAACACAGACATTTCCAACATCTACCTTACAAAATCAAGTCCCAAGTCTCAGTATCATATTATGATGTATTACTCCAATACAGTCTACTTGTGCTGGCACTACCTGGCTGATGCTGTGAGGTAAGGAGGAATGTTGTGTGCTGTCTGTTGCAGACTGCTTTGTGGCATCTGTGTGGCTGCTCTGAGTAGTGTGTTTCTGGGGAGGGGCACAATGAAGATGCTGGTTGGTTCCCAGAAATAAAAACCAGCAGATCATTTCAGCTTGTAATCCAGCCTATATGTATTCCGTTTTTTTTCTTGTTTTCCATTTGTGTGTGTTTTTGTTTACCTTTTCTTTCTGTTGGTAGAGGTGACCCAGGAATCAGATTTTATGTGTTTGACCTTGAGGAAAGCATTTGAACATTACGGTGTCTCTTAATACATCACATTAAATGATGGGTAATGATGGCTAAGGCTGCTTCTGCAAAGATGTAAAGGAGTAGTTTAATATGGGGCTGGAGTCTTCTTGTTCAAGTCTGTGCAACAGATGATTAAACATGGTGTGTATCATGGTGATGGTTGCACCAGTCTTGTGCCTTTATCTGAGACATGTTCCCATAAATCATAGAATGGTTTGGTTTGGAAGGGACCTTAAGGATCATCAGTTCCAACCCCCTGCCATGGGCAGGGACACCTTTCACTAGACCAGGTTGCTCAAAGCCTCATCCAGCCTGGCCTTGAAAAAAAACAGTCACTTATGTGGAAGGCTGAGAAATACATCAGCATATTTTTGGGTGGCAAATGAGGATGCCTTTACAGCCATTACAAACAGGCTAGCATATATTCTGTACAAAGTTAAGCACCTTTCACAGTGATGAACTAGCTGAAACTGAAGCCCCAAGGTGTATTTGGGGTAAAAGAAGTAGAAATCCACACTCACATACCTTTTTTGGTTGCTATTTTAGAGAAGGAAGAAACCAGTATGAAAGAGCTTTTCACATTTCATCTAAAGACCCTTTTGGAGCAATGTACAGGTAATCAGGATATTTATAGAAATTATTATTATTATTGTAGATAAAATTAATGTTTTTAATTATGGCTCAGGACAATTAAATATGATTATGTGAAAATCCCACTCATCAGAACTCATCACACAGCATTTTCCTTTCTCAACAGTATCCATTACTGGGACATTGTCTAATATTTTGGGTAGAAGTGTATCATTTCTTATTCTGAAAAACATATCACAGGTCTCTTGCACAGAAAGAATAATATTTGAAGGGGGGGAATGAAATCCCTTGGAAGCCTGAGAATTAGCATCATAATATACTGTTGGACTTCACTAGTCTTAATTCCATATTTAAATGCATGAATACATAGCTGTACCCTTCTGCTAGGTAAGTTTATATGGCAAAAGAGTGTATTTTGTGTCAATAAAACCAAACATTAGTGTTTAACTAAAACTGCTAATAACATTTCTACAATAGGAATCTCCAAGGATATGGTAAATTACCTGTGCCGCATCTGTTTGCGTTACTAGATCAGAAGAAGAAATGCTGAAATTCATGGCTGGCCAGAACTCGGTATGGAGCGTATGTGGCAGGGATGTACTTGTTGCATTTGATCTTTCCCCTTTCAAGAAGATCTGTGACCTGGGAGGTGAGTGTCATTAGATCTTCTTTAAAAGCCTCTAAACTGTCTTCTGATAGTGGCCTCTCCTGTCCCTCCTCTTCCCTTTGGGCAACATGTGGTGAGCAAATGTATTTTGCCAGCTTCCATGAGGCTGAATGCACTGAATGTGCTATTGTCTGTATCACTTCATGAGAAGTTGCTGAGCAAGTTGGTTTTGTGTCAGCACCGACCTTTTTTTGCTTTCTTCCCAAAGGAGGTGGAGGAGCTTTGGCCCGGGAGTATGTTTCTTTGTACCCAAATTCCACGGTCACAATTTATGACCTGCCAAAAGTCATACAAGTGGCCAAAGAGCAATTTGTTCCACCTGAGGAGCATCGTATCACTTTCCAGGAAGGTAGGTGTGGACAGTGGTGTAGTGTTGTCACAGCTGTTGCTCCTGAGCCCCTTGTCTCTGCTCAGAGGTACCACACTGGGGGGTCAGGTCTCCAATTGCCCCTTATGTTAGCACTGTCCCATATTGCAGCCTCCCTAGCCCAGATCTGCAGTTCATTCCTACCACAGGGCAGTCCCAGTTGTGCATCTGCAGCTACTTTCTATCAGAGACAACTCTGTTATTCAGCAACCCAGAGACTTTTTACTCCTGAACAGCGCTATTTCATTTCTTCAGAATGAGGGTATTTTAACACAAAAATAAGAATAAAAAAAAAGTCCTGCAGTTCTGAAAAACTATCATACCATGTTACAAATCTTCCTATCACTCCCTTTTCTCCTGCACAGACCTCCTGGCAGATGTGTGGGAGGCCAGGCCTGCTCTGAGCAAGGGGTTTTCCTTCTCTGGGAATGATTTATTGCTTTAAAGTCCTAAGAGATGTCAGGCTTTGAATGTAAGTGAGCTAGTCTGCATTTTTCTCGCCCAGTTCATAGTCTTTGTCTTAGCAATGGTCTTTGCACCATCTATGATGAACATGAGTGTAGGGATATCTAACTTTAAATGTTTACAAAAGTCTTCACAGTGTTGCAATGACAATATTGCTTGAAGCTCAGAGAGCAGAAAGAAGCCTTGAGGAAGGGAGGGAGTATATAAAAGCAAAGATAGAGGATCACAGGAAATGTTATGTGTGACGGTGGTACAAAGAAATGGGAGAAGAAATGTCAAAGTAAGGTGCAGAGAGAAAAATCTGAATGTAATACACGAGGTACTGAAGAAAAGGTGTGATGATGCAGGTAGTGCTAGGAGGTGAGAGGTGTATTTTTTCTTAATGATTTATGATGTTTTTCTGTTGTTACTGAAGGTCTTTGAAAATCTGCTTAGAAAAGGGGATTTTTTTTCCTTTTTTTCCATGATAGAAACTGAGAGAAACTGTCTCCTCTTCTGAAAGCTTTATGAATCTGAATTGCTGTCACAGGATAAAACTTAGTCTCAAATGCTTTCCTATGCATCAAAGGTTGAAGAAGAGCTGCTACTTTTAAACATTTTAGACCTTCTTGAGACTGAATGAAAAAAATACGCAATGCCACAGATGTGAGTGATGGACATGGCAAGTCCAGAGTTTCCAGAAATGGGCAGAACTGAAAATACTTGTTTAACTTAGCCCGCTGTGGTTTAGGGTTTTTGTGTAATACATGTATTCTCGCTTTACAGGAGACTTCTTTAACGATCCAATTCCAGAAGCTGAACTGTATATTTTATCCAAGATATTGCATGATTGGGATGATGACAAATGCAGGCAGCTGGTGGCAAAGGTCTACAGAGCTTGCAAGCCTGGTAGGTGTGAGCTCTTGAAAAGCAGAGAGACTCCGGGCTATCAGTAACAAGAAGCACGCCAGTCTCTATGCTCAATTTGGGTTTCAGTGCAGGGATTTCCTTAGTTTAGTCTTCTGCTTTCCTAAGCTGCCATGTGCAGCTGAGCCAAATAGAGTTTGGGCTTCTAGTTTTAGTCTCCTTCTCTACAGGGACTTCTCTTTCAAGGTATTTAGGTGTAAGGATTGGGGATTTGGGGTATTGTTTAAATAGGTGTAGATGACAGTAAAAATCCCATTAAGCATCACATTGCACCCTCAGAGATTTAAAAACAGTGCCTACACAGCCAGGTTATCAGCAAAATCAGTAAGCTTCTGCGGATTTCAGCTGTGGGAATAGGAAATTTACATCTCAGCCATAACACCCCCTTCAGACTTGGTGCATGAGTACTTAGGTATCTGAGCAGAGGCATGCTTCAGTGCTTTTGTTTTCATTGTCTTCTGTGATGCTGAAATAAGACTGAATATAGAGGCTGCTTCTTCCTGAAACTAAAGGTTAGGATCTGACCTAGTAACTCAGCTGAAAAATACCTCATCTTCTCAGAGCTCGGTGTGTGTTCTATTTCTCTTTATTCAACTAGGCGGTAGAGTGCTGCTGGTTGAATCACTGCTGAATGAGGATAAAAGTGGGCCTTTAGAAACTCAACTGTATTCGATGAATATGTTGGTCCAGACAGAAGGAAAAGAGCGAACAGCAGCAGAGTACAGCAAGCTCCTCAAAGCAGCTGGCTTTGGAGAGATTCAAGTCAAGAGGACGGGAAAACTTTATGATGCTGTTTTAGGAAGGAAATAATAACACCTCTTTCATATATTTACAAGATAGAGTAAGTCAAGAAATGTGATATTCTCAGAGGGGAGTCATCAACTCAGCTTTTATTTGAAGTAGCCAACTTTCTTGTATTTGCTCCTGGTGCATTGTCAGGAGAATCAGTAACGACAGATATTGAACATGAATGGATTACGAGTCTTGCAGCCTGACTAGGTCTTGCCTTTGGGTCTGAAAGGGGGAGAAAGAAGTCAACACCTGTTCCACAAGAAATAACCCAGAAAGAAAACATGCAGTGTGTTGGCTTTAGATCTTTTCATTCTTTCCAATTTCAACAGTGTATCTAACAAAAGCAATGCTGAATTTGTAATCAAATAAAATTGATCCCTGTACTGAGCTCTGTTACCTGAATTTTTATTCCTGGGGAATTGATATAGTATTGATATGGAGAAAACTCCAGGAACAAACTTGCCAAGAAAGTTTTCAAGCTGACAAGCAGGTATTCTTTATCGCGGAGCCAGGAGACACGGGGGATAGCTCCTCCTAACGTGTGTCTCCCCACTGCCACACAAGCCATCCTTTTATAGCCACTGGGCATACATACATATTCATGAGGCTACGTGTGGATTACGTAATTTTCCAGAAAGCTCCCTGCATGCGCACAGAATTGTGGTGGTCTCTGAGGGTCATTTACTTCTTCCAACAATCTTCATCACTTCTGGCAGCCTTTGAAGCATGCGCAGTAGATGCTCATACCAGTTTAATTGGTTCGTTAGCACCAGAGACATAATAATCCTCCTGTCCTCCTGCTTATCAGTTAGTTTAACTGTAGCCCATCCTGGACACCTGCGGCTCCCAGTTGCTCTTTATCCCTGTGTCCTGTTCTTCCAGACTGTTTTTCTTAAACTATGTCACAACTATAACAACTATAACGATTTATCTTGTGAGAACTCTCAGTATGTTCTCTAGCTGTACTCTATTTTTTTTCTCTATGTATCGTGCACCTCAGTAATTTTCCATTGCTACTGTTACAAAGCCATCAAACTTAACATACTTAAATCTAATTCTAAAGGTTTCTATATTCCATTTTGTGATTTTGTGCCCCCTTGTTTCAGTATAAACAGAGCAAGTGACATCTCCGTATGGTTAGTTTTTCAGGAGAACTCCTGTCTGAGCCTTGGGCAGTTTGGTGTGAAAAGTGGTTTATTTCCTCTAGATTTTGGTATCAGTTATGAAGAATAATTTTGTAGCTTGACTGGCTGAAGCCCAGTGATGCTCTTTACAGGGCAGGCCCTGAGGTGACACCTAAGAGGGAGAATGATACAGCCAAATCATTGTTATACACAAGGGAGGGCCTTATTGCATGCCTCCTGCTATTTCTTTAAATCGTTTGATCAAGCACAACCAGCCATAATCCACCCAGTTTTCTGGGAAGCGGAATTACAGGTTACTGGAGTGAGAAACATTTGCAGAAAGGCACCAGAAAGACTCTTTGCAGCTGTGGCTTGAATACAAATTGCATTTGTCTATTAAGCTGGATGCTAGAAGGGCCTGAGACAGCCTTCTCAGTACCCATCTGCTAGAGTCTCGTGCTCCTTTGATTGTAGGAGGAGTGTAGGGAGAAAGCAGCCTCAGTAGGGGAAAGCTGTCTTTTTTGTTATATTTTGTGATATCAAAATCAAATCACAAGGCTGCAGTGGCCTTTCTCATACTTAAAAGCAACGGTTCATGAGCCACTGTTGCAGGTAGCAGGTTTATGTTTAAGTAGGATCTCACCCTGTAGGTATTGACAGGATATTGCGGGTATTGACAGGATATTGCAGGAGTTGGGGCAAGTGTTTTTGGAGAGTTCCCTCCCAAGCTGCAGTCATTGTGAAGGTTATGTGGCACGAAGGTGACTTTGCCAGGAGCTGCAGCCTGTGAGTAATGCATTCTGAATGCTTGCTCACTTTCTAGACAAAGCGAGGTGTTACATCCTGCAGCAGCCAGGCACCAACACAAATAGTGAAACAAGGCTGACCTGGTCTTTATTTGGAAGGCCCAAAGCAAATGGCTTAGTAGAATAACTAGTTTAAAAAGACAGAATAAGAAAAGGAATATAGGTAGCAAGTAAATTTTGCATCCATTCAGATGCTAGGCACCCATGTTTGTACAGCACTGGATGGAGTCCAGCTGGATTTTTCTCCTCAAATGTGAGGTTTGCGGATGTCTTCCATCTGCATACCATTGCAGTAAAGCAATTTTGATGATGTCATAATGCCCCAATTAATCAATATTGGTAAAAAGTGGTTACCAAAGCCACAGATGCAACTCTGCATCTGTTCATCCGTCTGCCAATGGACCATTATTTTTGGAGTGCAGACTGTTCAACAGCTGTAGACCAGAGGTGAATGCCTGAGTTATTTTGCTAATGAAACATTAGTTATCAGGAAATCACATCCTGAGTGCTGCTGAACCATACCCCTCCAATTTTGTCAAGGGCCTCTGAAGTACAAGAACAGGGTAATACCAGAGGACCCAGGGGTATAAACAGAAATCACATGTCACCAGTCACAGATAAATGCAACTGAAAAAGGTAGGCAGAAACAATTTTACAGCAGAATTTGAAAACATGTAGACTTGTATAGCAGACTCACAGAGCTGCCCATGTTTAATCACATTGCAGAGATGTCTGTAAGGAGAATATATAGCAGCAATGAACCCAAACTACTCAGTATTTGCACTTGTTCAGAACTTGTACAGAATGGATTCCTCCAGTGATTATATTCTTAGACATATATTGTTTATTATTGTTAAAAGGAAGTGTACCTCTATTTCTTGTACTTGATCTGTTATTGTGCTCCTTAGGCTTTTTTGAATTTGTATGCACCCTTTTGTCCATAGTAACAGTTAAGAAAATCCATTTGACCTGGTATAGCCTCACATGCCTATGAAAGTCCAGAGGAAACATGGGTTCTACAGAAGACTTTGACTACTCTCAAGTCATCCTGCAATACAGCAGTGGATTTTTAGTCTCAAAGGTAAAAAGATATAACTCAGCCTTGGATAGATGCAAAGACTAAGATGTTCAAGGGACTTGTTTAATGTCTTTGAGAAGAAAACAGTTAATAATAGAGAATCCTGGTACTATGCTGACTTTAAACTTGAAATACATATGGTGGAAGTCTAAAAGGAAAAAAAACCTCAGCGCAGCCACGGCCCTCAGGATGGACCTAACTGTTGAGACCCCTCTGACCTTTGTTATCTTGTATATGTAGGCCTTGTATCTGCATGAAGTTTCTAAAACACAGGCATTTATAGCTGAGGAATTGCTGTTTGACAGCCTCAAATGTGAAAGGTTCCTTTGGTGATGGGATTTCTTCCTACTTTTCAGTTTTGGAGTTTGAGAAACAGAGGACTGATTTGAACTGCCTTTTCCCCTCCCTGTTAAACCATCCAAAGTACAAGATTTTTCAAAGAAAGATCTTCTTCCCTCCCCAGATTTACCATGCAGCAGACTGAGTTTGATAACATTTGTCTATTATATCCCTTCAGATGGAAGGGGCTGTGAATACAGAGTGTGTTATAATGACCCTCTTCCAGACAGCACATCTTTAAGGCAGACAGGCAGTAGTTTCAATTTCCTTAATGTTTGCTGATGCTGTTTTCCTATGTGTATGTGCGTTTGCATAAAATTCCTCTATTCAATTTCAGTTTTATTTTTCCTCATTTACAATCTACAGCGCTTTCAAAATTAATATTCCTGTCATGTTTTTGAGGAGTAATCTCAACCGTGTTTTTGCTGAAGGTAAAGGAGTTTTGCCTCTCAAGGTTGTGACCAAATCAGTTGCCAGCTATAATAAATTAGGAAGAACTATTGATACTCTCGAGAGTGAAGATGCCTTACAAGAGAGAACTTGATAGCCTAGAGCAATGAGCAATCACTAACTATATGAAACTGAACAAGTACAAATGCCAGATTCTGCACCTGGGGTGGTGTAATCATGGATGTTCTTCTAGAGTGGGGTACAAGATGCTTATGAAAAGCCCTGCAGAAAGGGATCTGTTGGTTTTGTTTGATGGGAACCTCAATATGAGTCAACAATTTGCCCTTGTAGCCAAAATGCCAAGTGTATCAATGGTGTGTATTAAGCACGGTATACCTAACCTGAAAAGTGATTGTCACACCATACTAAGCATTCATGCAGCTTCACCTCTGGTAATGTGGACAGTTTTGTGCTCCACAATATGAGAAGAATATAAAAATTAAAGTGTCCAAGTTAAACTAACAGTGAAATGCTGAAAAAAATACCACTGAAATTCATGGCTGGCCAAAACTCAATGGGGTAAGTGTGGTAGAAATGTTCTTGCTGCATTTGACCTGCCCCCTTTCAGGCAGATCTGTGACCTGGGAGTTGAGCATCAGTAGATCTTTAACAAGGCTCTGAACTGTCTTCCTTTACAAGCTCTGAGAAGAAAAATCACTCCTAATTTATATGAGTGATGGAAAGCAAGACATACCTCAGAATCTTGTCAGCAATAAGAGGAGTGTTTTACTGTCTTGGTGGGGTTAAAAAGGGAAAATTGAGAGTGGTGAGACCATTAGGAAACTCCGTGTTTTTCTCTACAGTCTCATTTGTGTGAGTGGTGGCATATCCCCTTGTGACCATACAAGGTTTGGTAATTTTCACGCCCTGCTTAATACAATCTTCTGGTGCCAGACTTTTTCCCTCCTCCCTTTCAATCAGTGCCATTAGGTTGAGAGATAATCTGCAGCCTGTCACACAGCTGTCCCAGTGCTGATGAGACTGCCAGGACCCACGGGAGCCACCAGGCTGTCTTGCGGGCTCCCTCGTTGCAGCTGATTTAGTGGCTCTGTTTTTCATTTCTATCTTTCTAACTGTGGAAAGAGGAAGACACTGGCCATCTGCTATTTCTTTAAATCAGTTGGTGAAGTACAGCTTGCAATAGCCCAGATGCCTGGTGCAGGAAGCATTTGGAGGAGGTGGTGGGAAATGGGTGTCTGTACAATTGGCTTGAATGCTAGTTGAGGCTGCAGCAACTGGTCTAGTTTCTTAGCAGAATATATGAAGTATACAACTCGTATAAGTAGGGATTTTTTTCCTTGTCAAGGCATGGTCTCCAAGTCCTGGAAGAAGAAATTACCTTAATTTTGTTGTGTCACACTTCTGAGCGTATGACACTGAGATGTTAACGTTCATCAGGCTTTCCTTTAGAGAGGTGGGTATTTCGATGTATTGTTTCAGTTCAAGCTGGAGCTTAATTTGAAGAAAGTTATCCTTTGCCAGTGCTTAGCTCTAATTTTTTAGTAAAGCTGTGAACCCTTATCACTGCACAGGAAAAGCTGGAAAGATTAAGGCTCCAGGAGAATTCGACCCATCTCTCCTGAACTGCTG